TGAGCGCCGCACCGTGCCGGCCCGGCCCGGCCCGGCCCCTCTGCCCTTAGCTCCGCTTGCAGCGTCATCAGTGAGCGGCCGTGTTTAAGGCCGCCTCCCCGCTAATTTGGTCTTTGCTGGTTTGTTTGTTTGTGTGTTCCCTCCCTCCCCCCGCTTCTTCACTTCAATGGGGTTCTTCTCCCATTTGCTGGCAGTAAATTGCTTCCTGCTTTATGCGCTGAGAAGGCGCGCTAATTTCCCTAGGATAAATTCACTCATCGCCATTCCTTTAGATAGCAGCTGCAGCTAACTCCCATCCTTTCCAGGGCTTGTAGACTGGGCAGGCTTGGTGAATGTTAGGGATGCTCTTCCTAGGTCCTCGCCTTTGACTTCTCTGCTGGAGTCCCTCTCCACCACTAATTTCTTATTGAGCTTCTGCAAGACAGTGTGAAGACCAGGTTGGACAGGTCGTAGGCTACCAGATAGGACTTCATGGGATCTTGCCGTGGTGCTTACACACCGTGGTTCTCTGTAGACAGGAGTGGACAGACTCATGCTATGATTTCACTGTATCTGGAAATTATAGAGGTATATTAGCATGTGAATGTGCCCGAGATAGCAAGTGCTGCTTCTCAGCATGTTTGCTCCGGTATGGCAACATGCTCGTGTGGCTGTCCAGTTTACAGACTGGCCGTAACGTGTATCTGACAAACTGGACGTATAGGCAGAGTGAGCTTGTATCTGTCTGCTTCAGTCTGTGTAGACTGTCTCTTAATCTGGAAAAGCCTCTTCCTTGAGTGTGAGGACTTTGTTAGACAACATAGGAAACACTATCTAATACCTTCTTTTGTGATACTAGGGTCTCTTTTTTTGTTTATTTATCCATAGAATGCCAATCATAATTTTATATTTGTAAAAAAATATTAGCGGTTGCTTATCATTGCTAATGGAGAAATACCATACGTTAAATTAGAGGGATAACTTCAAGTTAATAAGATGCATTAACAGCATGAAGTTATAAAAGTAAACTTTGAATAATTTCTCGTTTTCTGTCAAGCAGACTTTGTGTCAGTTGAAGAGTGCTAGACTGACATCACATAAAAGCACAGCTAGTTTAAAGAGTATTTTTTGAGAGTTAGCTAACAGTATATTTTACTGTGTTTTGGCACTCTTGGGTGCCAAATAGAGTTCTTTGAAATGTCACTTTACGTATTAATATTGTCCCATGAAACTGTTAAAATAGTGATCTGGAAAAAAATCCCTTTTAGCTGAAAGCTTTTCAGTTAGAAAAGTGAAAGGGAAAGATAGAAACTCTTTCCAAGCTATTATTTAGTTGTCAACATTTAGCAATGATTTAGTTTATCCTAGAGTATTATAGCATAATCAGTTTGTATCCAAACTTCTATAAAATTTTCAGTTTAAACTTTTGCTTGTTATTTTAAATGGAATCTTACTTATCACTTTACAGGTAGGATCTTCTTAAGTAACGTAACGTTTAGTTTGTGGTGTGCACACAGATGCATGCACACACATTTACATACTTACTAGTGATGTCTTAGACTATTGAAGGGGTTTTATCTTCTTACGGATTTTGTGAACTTTGCTTTTGTTGAGTTTTTGTTACTTTTCAGTTACTAGTTTTTCTCTGTAAGCAGAGTTAGTTTTTACAAAGGACCGGGTTAGGATTTGCTAATAGAAAAAGCAGATGTTTCAGGTGTATTTCTCTTGATCGTGGCGTATGTGATATCATACTTCTATGGAAGACAAACATTAAGCGTACGTGACCCCAGATGTAGGAGTATGGATAATAATATGTAAGTGCACTAGGAATACTCACCTCCCTCAAGTCTATGTATGTTTTACATTTACTAATAAGTAACCTTTTGATCTATATTGCACTTCAAATGGAAGTATAATAATGAAATTAACAGATTGTTGTTTACCCTGGAAAAGTTAACTTCTTTAGTGAAATGATGTAGCTGTATGTGTAAGCAAATAAGTTATCGTAATGTTAAAGTATTTTTAATTTTTTATTAAAGATTCCTGTGGATGTTATTTTTGGATGTAAAAGTGGATACTTTATAGTTGTTACAATTAAAGCTTCAGCTGTAGAATTTAATTTAGGAGGATAAAATTGATTTCCCTATTGTCCTACCCTTCTTGTTGTTGATTTGGTTGTATTTGTTAGTTGTAGTAACCTCTGGGAAGTTGCAGATTCTGAGACGCCCCTAAGTCTATTTACTAATGTTGTTTTCTACCTAGAGTAGAGAAGTGCATTGTAGCTTTCTAATTAGAAATTTTTAAAAAAGATTTAACAGTAATTATTTAACATCTTGAAATGGAAATCTAAATGCTTAAGGCTCAGTCTGTGCTGGTACTTGGTGTTGTCTGATCCACCTGAGTGTGTGATAAGGAGATGATAGTTCAAAGAGACAGGAGCTTGATGGAAAGAGAAAGAATTGCGCTGGTGATCGTTGTGGGATTGATAGCAGGACTGTGATCAGCAGGGATGAAACAATGTAAGACGAAAATGTGCAAGAATTGAGCAAGTGATTTGAATTTTTACGGAATATTGCATTTCAGTTGGTTACCCATTAATTTGCTGGCTGAAAAATTCAGAAATTAAGCACTTCATTTAAATTGTCTTGTTCTTCCCCCTCACGCTACTTGTTTAGAAGCTGGGGGGGAGGAGGAGGGAAACATTTCTGTAACTTCTGTGCTTGTCAATATTACCCAAATGCCATTTTGCATTTAAAATTTCAACTGCAGCGTTTGAGCTTGCTTGGTCTTTGAAGAATGAAAATGGGAGTGACTGAACATTCAGATACAGTCTCTCAAATTTAATACATGTATATATTTCACTATGTGAACATTCCTCAGTTTGTCTCTGAGTAGCGTGTTCGGTCTCTGATCCTGCAGCCTGTTTTGCAGGCATATTCTCTTACAAGTGAAATCTCATCATGCAAATCTGATTGCAGAAGTGAGACCCTTATGAGATATTCTGTGCATACAGAAAGTAATATGCTGTGTGGTCACAGCAGGCTGTTTTCATTTTCTTGAAATGGTCTTTCATGAGATGTCTCTTCCGTTCATAAAGTACCTGTTTTTAAATTGCAGTCTGGTGGGTATGGGCCAGAGTGTAAGAATAGAACTGTCAGAATGCTACCTGAAAAAAAAAGTGGGTTTTTTTTTTTTATTTTCACATTTCAAATTTTTATTTTATTTAAAAGTTGTTTTTCCTACAAAACTTAGAGGATTCAGGGTTGGATGCTGTTCTCTTAATTTCCTTCTAAGAAATTAATCAGCCAAAATTTAGAGATCTAGGGAGTTGGAATGAAAATACCTGTTCAGTTAGGATGATGAAACCCCCTTTATCCTCTCTATGTTTATAACTATCCTTTTAAGGCTAGTCATCATCATAATTTCTTAGACAAGTGAATTCCAGGAAGGTGTTAGTTGCTGGATAGGCAGTAACATTGCGGGGCGGGATCATTTGCCTCTGTTTCTTTGAAAATAAAAGGATATACATATTAGGAGGCAAGTTGAGAATATTTCTTATTCATATATTGTATACTGCTATCATGTCACTGTGTACTGTACTTATGTATTAGATGCACTCATTTTACTCGTCCTTCATGTGTTGAACCCTCTCCCTATGCCATTGCCAGTGCCGTTCTTCTAACCTTTTCTGTTTCAGATATGGTTCTTTTTTACTGTAACCATTTAAACCAAATTCGGTATTTGGTATGTGATTGTCTTATTAAAAATGGTTTTGCATATGTCAGTATATATATATTTTTTTGTATCCTAAATTAAAGGGTGTAACTGCATGGAACCTTACAAATCCAGTGTTTTGTCTACTAAAATACAGTGGGGAACAATCCTGAAATAGAAGGGTGCTCAGCTAGATTAGATGTGGTATTGTTTTGCTTTCTAACTTTAATGGTTTATCCTGTCAGACTTTATAACTACTGCTGCACATTGAGCTGTCCACAATGACTCCTAATTATTTTTCTCGGAAGACTGGACTAATTTGAACTCATCAAGTATTTAGATGAAAATCATTTCTCCGTGTGTGCATTACATTATATTTATTTGCATTTCATCTGCTGTTGTATTACTCAGTTTTCTAACTCTGTTAGGTCTTTCTGGAAGCCTTCTCTATTCTCCAGTTTTTACTAACCCGAATAATTTCTTACTACTTGCAAATTCTGTGTTACTGTCTG